TTGGACCTGGGAACTTTAGTCTTGGGACTGGCAACAAATTCTGTCTTGTGGTAGTTCTGCTTTTAATGCTCAGACCTGTGAAAGATACAGTTTTGAGATAGTAAGGAGCTTGGACTGAACTAGTTTCTTTGTTAACAATCGTAAAACATATTTCCGTGAAATAAAGCATTAGATGAATAGATAAAACCTCTACCTATCCCATCCCTTTTTAAATCATTCAGTATATTTTATATTTATATATTAAAAGAGGTTATTAGAAATCATTGTAAATTTTCCGCGCTCTGTGCCCCGCCCATTCCAGCATGCTCGAAGATGACCTTCAGCTCAGTGACAGTGAGGACAGTGAGACCGAGCAAGTAAGTTTTGTTCATCCCGTGACTCCAGGACTCCTTTTAAGCCCATCTGACGTTTCTGAACTGCTATCCTAACCTGTCTTTTGTTCTTTTCCTTCCCCTTCTTCCCCGTACCGTGAATGCCCAGGCCCCAGAGAAGCCTCCTTCCACGTCTGCACCGCCAAGGTACCGTGTGCGGGTTTCCCCCATCTGTACAAACGTTTGCCTTTTTCTACCAAATGGGAAAAATACAACCTGGTGCTTTCATAACTTTGTGGGGAAGGAGGTGGAGGATCACAGTTCAAAGAAAGTATCTGTTTAATATTTTGGAAGCTTTAGTCCGCCTAAGAAAGGTGGTTAACTCTATAAAAAGAAAACCCCTGCACCCACCGAAATCAGGAGTTTGGGTAATTAAAATTTTTGAGAGTTTAAAATAAGCCTGAATCACTTTCATCAGTATTATGTAACCAGTATTTGAAAAGTTATGCTGCAGAACCCAGTGTTTCTATGAAAGTGACAGATGCGTATTTTCAAAAATTATAAAGCTGCAGTTTCCATAGTGCCTGTTTTTTTAGTCATATGAATTTTCTAATTGTTTCAGTTGCTTTTTAAAATGGCCTGCAGCACATTTTAGTGTGGTGTAAAATGGCACTGTTGTCATTTTGTAAACAGTTTAGCCATGTTTTAAAAACATATGCTTTAATTTTTGGAAATGGGAACTATCGACACTGCCTCTGGGACTGAATTTCATGATTTCGTATGCCAGTGCTTGACCTCCATGGACAAGGAAAAGTTAAATTACACTGTAGCTGACTCCCTTGAGATGTGTCGTCCATTCGGAGACAAGCTCAGCAATAGAAACCTTCCTTGCAAACCTGTGATGTTATAGTTAGCAGGGTCTTATGGGTTCTATGGGTTCATAAGCTCTGCTCATTTATTTGTATCCCATTTTGTCCAGTAACTACTATTGGCTCTAAATGACTCATAAAATATGACAAACTAGCCTAACTTAAAAATGGAAGGAAAAGTAGAAAAATAAAATGGGGACAAATCAGAGGGAGAAATAACACTGAAAGTGTATCTCATTCTAATCATCTCTGGCTTCAGCTCTTTGGCTACCAGTGTGAAAGTGATCACAAACCTGATGCAGCATTTTATCTGTGGAAATTATGTCATGGTGCAGTGTTTGCTTTAAAATGACCTCAACTAGTGATTTTATTTGTTACAATTTTTTAATTCTTCTAATATAATTTGATTTAATAAATTCATTACTTAATATTTTAGGTAGATTTGGAGACTTTCAAGAGTTTAGGTATTGATTTATTGCTTTGGCTAGTTCCACTGAAGGCAAGGTTTTAAGATAGTGTTTTGAAATTCTGTATATGCCCAGCAGTGTTTTCTCACTGACCTTGAGTGACTGTCATATTCATAAAACTTGCAGTAGTTAATCTCTATTTCAGCTGATACTTGGGGATCATCCTAAGCTACTCATAAACAATGGCCTGTTTTATTCTGCCCTAGAGCATGATGGGCTTGCCTTTGAAGTCACTTTGCAAAGGAACACCATTTATATTCAGTAGTCTTTTGCTGCCATACAGTTAGTTCTCATAGAGAGTAGAGAGAGATTTTAATGTATAGGCTGTTTTTCATAAATGAATTTGTTTGGATTATATATAGCAGGGATCAACAAACTTAAAGGGCCAGAAAGTAAACATTTTAGGCTTTGTGGGCCATACAGTCTGTGTTGAAGCTAGTCAGGTCTGCTTTTACAGTATTAAAAGCAGACAAAGACAGTACATAAAATAGGTCTGAATAATGGATGTGAATGTGTTTCAATAAAACTTTATTTAAAAAAAAAACAGGCAGCCAGCCCAGGCCATGGTTTACCAACCCCTGACATAAAGTACCCCACATCTAAGTTAAATTTGTTTAGCTTGAAATGCTTTCAGGAGCAAAATTCCACAGGCTTCTTTTATTTAGTTATCTGGTGAGCTATTTTAAGGGTTTTTTGCTGATTTTTGAGCCATTGTAGAATTTCTCTCAACTGGGTGATACGGTAATTTACTAATGTTAGGTAATATTGAGGCCATTTCTTTTGAGTAGCAGGAAAATGGGCAAAGCAGGAAATGAGTAAAGGGGGAAGTCCACCGTGTGTAGTGTCTTCAGATGATCTCTTGGTTGCTTTGCAGCGCTCCGCAGTCGCTTCCAGAAGTAGCGGCTTCAGCACATTCCAGTGGTGCGGAGTCAGAGAGCACCAGTGACTCAGACAGCTCCTCAGACTCAGAGAGCGAGAGCAGCTCAAGTGACAGCGAGGAGAATGAGCCCCATGAAGCTCCGGCTCCCGAGGTACCGTGTCCCCTCCAGGAGACCGTCTGGGACGGCAGCGTTCGGGGGCTGGAGTCTGCTGTGGGCCAGACCATGGGACTGAGTGGCTTTGTTGCTTTCCTGCCCCTACGTTGTATAGAACAGGGTGTTTCTATTTACTTATTTCTTACCAAACATTTGGCAGTAGAGGTTTGGGAGAGAGGTCTTCTCTCTCCTGTTTAAAACGATAGGTTCTTCTCTGTTATTGCTAGTGTGTTTTGAAGAGCAACTCAATAAGGATGTTTGCACACCATTTTCTTTTCCCTTCTCTCGAAAAAGAAAACTCGTTTTTAGTAGGCTGCTGTTTTAATATTAATGGGAATTCTTTTTGAATTTTCAGGAATGCATGAATTAAGGAAATCAAAAGGAGACAGCCTGATTTAGCAAAGGGCAGGAATGTGAACTAGAAATAAGTCATCAGAGGTTCTATTTTTGAATCACTAAAAGCCATGCATTAAATGGATGGTGAAGTGATTTTGCTAGAGCTGTGTTTCTGCGCCCTCTGCCCCATGTAAAACAGGCATAATTGTGTTTGCCTGTCACCACCCCTGGGAAATATTGTAAAGATAAACAGATGAGATTGAAAATCTTAAACACTGCATTTATCTAGAGGATTTATGCTACTTACTGGATTGTCGAGCACAGGAAATTTAGTAACAACTAATGAGGTTGCCAGATGCCCTCAAAACTTTGAGTAGCAATGTAAAAATTGTGCTGGAAAAGGATTCTTAGTGAAAAGGGAAGGGGTTTTTGGTGAACTAGACCAGTTTGTATAGAGAGAATTATTCCACATATTTAAGATGGGAATTCTGGGAAATGAGATTTTCTGATTAAGGAAATGTTCGAGCTCTCAGTGTTCATCTCTGCTGTTTAGAAAGCAAGGCAGTTAGTTCCACTAGAGCATTAACTGAATCCATCTGGAGATCACATAGGGAGACTTAAGAGCCATGTCTGAGGGCAAAGGAGGCTGAGAAAATTACTGAGTGTCATTTTTTGTTAGATGTGAATTTGTGTCTGGCACAGAGTAAGTGCTCAATAAATATTTTTTTGGAGTGAGTAAACAGATCAGCATTAACTGCATTTGGAATGCCTTTCAGGTTTTAGAAACTACTCTCTGTGTTCCTGGGGGTTCTTTGTTTCCTTGTGAGATACTAATTGCTGTTGAGATAATTTTTCTATGCCCCAGGGAAAAAGATATTGAATATGCTTTGCAGACAAATTATGTGGTTGTTCACTGTTAATGTTTGTAAGATCTTTGCTTTGTGTTTCACCTTGTTCACAAAGAAAAATCTGCGTGCTACTTACGCTGATGGAATAGAATCCAGTTAAATAGTAAAATTCAATTCAAGTAAGTAGATATGGCACAGATTTGACTGAATAGTTGAAATTTTAAAGAAAGATTAATCTAGTATTTGATTTAATGAAATAGTTATGTCTTGTTGCACAAGAGGTTACTGAAATAGAGTTAGAGACTTAGATAAAAAAGTAAATGTTCCCCTCCTACTTTATTTTTTAAATTTTATTTATTTACTTATTTAAATGTTAGTTCAGGTCTTATCCCACCCACATACAACCTCTTCTGGTTTGTGGAAGCAGTAGGTCAGACGTTTGCACCCTGCTGGCCGTAGACTCCAGCACCACACCCACCTGAGGGCTCTCCGAGGAAGGGACGGACATTGCCCTTGGCGTCCCCTGTGTGCGCCTGGGGACAGCGGCTTAGCTTCTCTCATGCTCCCTCTCCTGGGGAGTGGTGTAAGACTTCTTCCTTTTCTTAGCACCACCCGAAGCGCCTACACTAGATGGAGAGTGGACTCCTTTTGAATGTTGTAGTCAGACAAAGTACGTGCACGTCCAGTTGCCTGCAGCAAGGATCAGTCTTGGCTGATCGGGAGGAAGTCCTCCCTTATCCTGGATCTTGGCCTTTCCATTTCTGTTGTATCTGAGGGCTCAACCTGGAGAGTGAGTGACGGTCTTCCCCATAAGGGCTTTCTCTTGGCGGCGATTCCCACCACAGGTGGCCAGTCGGGGGGAAAAGCCTACTTTATTTTTTTAATCACTTTACTAAATAGGCTCATACTTGTACTTTTGTGTTGCAGTGCAAATCTAGATCTGGTACTGTTTATATGGTATACACTGAGGTTCAACTTCCCCAGAAATACAGGGTGTTCCATTATTTACAATAATGCAAGTATTTTTTTTTTTTTTTTTTAAAGAAAAGTAGTTAAATACTTTGGGGAAAATTAGAGGTTTAAAATCTAGGCAAGGACAAAATATAGGGTGTCCTCCAAAAATGTATACACACTTTAATAGCTGATAGCTCAATTTTGAAAATGAAATGTATTTTAATAAACACTGCCTTTGTAATTATTCAGAGTGTATGTTTACATTTTTTTGGGACACCATATATTTTGTCTTTGCCTAGATTTTAAACCTCTAATTTTCCCCAAAGTGTTTAGCTACATTTCTTTTTCTTTTTTCTTTTTTTAAATAAATACCTGCATTATTGTAAATCTCCTGTGTTAGTTGAGAGTAACACGAATTCCATACCTAACAGGTTATAATTACTAGTTATTACTTTCCCTTTTTTAAATTCTATTTTTAATGTTGAAAAATTTGCTTTTTATGGCCCTGTTTTAAATTCATTTGATGAAGTAGTTTAATAATCTTCTGAGAATCTGAAATCTGTATGCCCACCACACGAGCTGGTGGTGAACTTGGGAAAAAGCAGATCTTAGTGTTTGCTTTACATTGGGGATCAAAATATAAACCTCAGCTTTTCAGAATGTACAGGACACCTCAC